TCGATGAAAACCCATTGATATGAAGCTGGATATGTGCGGTGCTAACGTTCAAAAGCATCAGTTTTCAAATCTCCCAGCATATTAAAATTGTTTTGAAGTCATAACATAATATTAATTGTGATTGATAAGTAATTGTGCAAAATTTACGCTTTATTAATCGAAACTCTGTAAATTTGTGTGAAAAGGAATAGAAAGTGTCAGAGTTTTACTGCCTCTAGTGTTCATTTCTTTTGGAAACTGCAGTGATATGTACTTATTGGTACATATTTCGCGACTCACAAAAAAGTGCCCCCAGGTACGTTTTTGTCATGAGACCAGGTAGTTTTTGAACGAATCAGTTCAGTGAATGATTCAATGACTCGTTTATAAAGACAGTCACTTTGCTGGTTCAACCATGTAACATGCAGAAATGGAGTGGTACAAACAGTGAAAAGTCACAGTAATGTTGGTATAAATATCAGTACTCTTAAAACAACATTCAGTCAAATGAATTCAAGGACTCAAACACCTGAAACAGTTAACAGAGACATATTATGCCCCTTTTTACAATATGTAATATAAGTCTCTGGTGTTCCCAGAATGTGTCTGTGAAGTTTCAGCTCAAAATACTCCACAGATCATTTATTATATCATTTTGAAAATGCCTATTTTGAGTGGAAGCAGAAACACGCTGTTTTTCGGGTCTGTCTCTTTAAATGCAAATGAGCTGCTGCTCCCCGCCCCCTTTCCCAGAATAGAGCTGCGTTGATAAAATAAGCTGTAGATTTCTCAAAGAGATTCAGAGAATATTAAGCATTTTAAAAATAAGATAACATTAAAAAAAAGCTTCCTGCAACCCAATTTAAAAAAAGCAGTTTGGAGGATTTAATGGCACAGATTTAGCTAGTCCGACTTTTGCCAGATATGAACCAACTTCAACTGCCATGGGAGGTGGTCTTAATTTCACTTTCATGGACTTTTAGTTTGTTTCTGTTCAGTCTTCTTTGTTCTAGTCCCTATCTGTCCTTAGTTGTCATGGCAATTGATATGATTTAGTGTCGTTCATTATCGTAGTTTGCCTCTGTATTTATCTGCCTGTGTTTTCAGTTCCCCTTCAGGAACTCGAGCTGCGTCGCAAAACGCTTTGGGAACGCTCCTGTGTTCCCACGCTCTGAAACACGTGTAATCCTTCCAAGGGAATCCCGGGTGACGTCACCGGCGGGGATGACAGTGGAGACAGCGGCAGCTTCTGTTGTTCAGTAAGCACTCTGTGTGTTACGTCTTATTTATTGTTGTACGGCAAAAACATATCATGGCAAAGTCTGGCAAGAATGTTGAGTCTGACAAGCAGCGTTTCAGGCTGTGTATTCCTCCCTGCCCTTTTTTCATCACGGGTGGGGATACACACAGTTTGTGCGTTGCTTGTTTGGGAGCGGAGCACGCTCGCTCAGCTCTCGAGGGAGCTGACTATCCGCATTGTGTTCGCCTCTCGATGCGGACGCTCCGCTCCCAGAGAGCACTCTTTGAGGAGGGTGCTCTCGCCAGCGTTCCCCGCGCTTCGGGTCCCGCCTCTGCCA